TTCGATCATAGTGATGTTAGGTGTGGCGAGGTAGGCAAGAAGGATAACAAAGTTTAAATACTCACCGGTGCCATTTATGTTTCTACCGACAATTCGCACAGGCACGTTCGCCTGGTGGCCAATCGTTGGTGCAGCCGTCCCCGCAGACGTCGCGCTCTGCGTCGACTGCTGTTGGGACTGACTCCTGGGTGGGCTCGGGAAGACGTCAGCTGATCCAGAAACGTTCGCACTGGTGCTCACCGCTGGCACAGGCGAAGGCGTTGTTGTAACGCTGCAGTTCTGCTCGTCCATGCTGGCCGAAAGCTCGATATTCTCGGAGGCACTCCGATCGACGCGTAGTGTCCTCGCATCCGGGGACTGGTGCATACATTCGGACACGAGGGCACGAAGCTGAGCAACGAGGCCCGGGCTATTGTAAAAGCCGCGAACCGCATGCACTGCTTGAGCCCGACACCGACGCACTTGAACGGCAAATAAACGAAGAGAACGAACTTTCGACCCTCTCTATTCTTTTTAACTACACATCTGTACGTGCGTGTGTAAGTACCTGAATAGTACGAAGCGAAAGAGAGAGCAGATAACAGAGAAAAGGAGAGAAGTAATGTCCAGGTTGTTGTGTGACTGATGGTGAAGCGTATCGTATGGTGGCGTAGCGCGCATTGTTTGCCCGTGATCGCAAACGACCGAGTCGACGCGCTTCATCCTCTCGAGAAAAGAGAGAACAGGGCGCCCCCCCCCCCACCCGCCGACTAAGCTATCGCAGCCCTCCATGCACGCTCCACCCTGTGATTCTCCTAACTCTCTCCCCAACTTTGTATCCATCTCCCTCTCGTTCACTCTCTCTCTCTCTCTCTCTCTCTCTCTCTCTCTCTCTCTCTCTCTCTCTCTCTCTCTTCAAATCAGCAACGAGGCGAAAAAACGCCTCTCTGCCCCTCACTCGTGAGCCGACCCACCCTATAGCCACCCTCCTTCCGAGTACAACGATTCTTTACGTACTCCCTCTTTCCATCTCACCCCACCTTTGGATCTTTTTTGCGTAATGTGAATGCTTCTTCGTCGGCTCTTCTCAGCAATGAAGAGAAGAACGAGAACGAGAGCGTCAACAGCTTATGTACGTACAGTATAGTGGTGACGTGCGTCAACAACTGGCACCGTAGCCAATTCCTTCCGTCCTTCGATCCCTCTTCATCGTAACCTTTTCCTATGATTTTTTGTGCATACATATGTAGAGCAACGAGAGCTTGACCAGCTTTTTTAATGAAAAAAAAATAGTGGCAACCTACGTCGAAAAAAGTTTGTCGTCGCTGTTGTAAAGGAGCACAAAAACAATGACCGAGCAAAATTCAATGTGTACGCATTTTTTTCGGTCTTCTTTTCTTTCGGCTTATGCAAATTCCCTCTTTACCTCACTCGCTCTCTCTCTCTTTCTCTCTCCTCCGTTCTATTCACTCTTCTACACACGTGCGAGTGGCCTGAGAACTCATGAGATTCGCAATGGAGCGCAGCCAGTTTTTCAGCGCTGCGCGCCGTTGCTTGCCCGCGACAGGATCAACGGCTCTCCTATATCCTTGAATTTCTGTGAGCTCTATTGCTCCGGCGTCTCGAAAGAGAGAGAAGTCGTACGATTATATAGGTTGTAATTACATTTAAGCGCTTCACTTATTTTTTCTTTCGATGTCGAAAATGCTTTCATAATAAAAAAACCCTACTGAAAAATTTTCTTGCCAAAAATATGAGAAATTTAAATTTGTTATTTTAAATTGCTGGTGCTTGCGACAATTAAATTTTAACGCAATTTCTATATAATCAAAATCTTAATACACATCTGTGTATATTATGTATTATAGAATACAATAGATACCAAACAATATTCTATTTAAAAATCTAACGATTTACATAATAATTACATATAAACTTAAAAATCATTTATTATATAGTTTTTACAAATTTATATACCGTATGATCATTTGAAATTTTCACCCAAAAACAACATAAAGTTTTATATTTAATTGAAAATTAATTTTTTTTATAACAATGTATTGAATAATAATTTAATGACAAACAATTAATTTTAATATGGTCTATGGAATCTTTTCATCTATTAGATTTATTCTGAAGCTTAGTTATTACAACACTTTTAAATATTTATATCATTTTCTACAATAAAATATTCGATAGTGAAATTATTTAATCCGTCGAAAAATATGTAATAGATTAATTTAAGTATATTAAATTAAATTAATTAATGTCGCATAAATTATTTTCAATATGTTCTGATTCAACAAATGTACCTATGTAAATTTATTTTAACGTATTTTTTATTATTTATTGGTACATTTTATTATTAGAATAAATACAAATAGTACGAAAAAACATATCAATTTAAAATTTTTTATAATATAAGATTAGAGTTTGGATTTTCTTTTGAATATAGTTATTCATTTACTAGATTTTATTAACCTAAAATTTAAAATATATCATATAATAAATGATAAAATATTTTGTAATAAATTAATATTATTTAAAAACATTTTAGAATAAAATAACATGCTTTCAAAAATACATGTAAATCAGAAAACTACTTAATATACAACATCGTTCATCATGCCCGTTTTTCTGATACATTGAGCAATTTTTTATAATCATTAGGAGATAAAAGAGGGTAACTTGAATGTTTTTTAAACGATTATCTGATAGGATTTAGGGTTAAATTTTAAACGGGTGAAAGATTTTTAAGGGTTCTAGATATAGCGAAGGGAGACTACGCTTATATAAAAAATAATTTGTTTAAAGTTAATTCTTCTTTTCATAGTTCTTGACCTACTTAGAATTTCTCTTAGATCACAATGCAAATATTTTAAAAATTTGTAACTGGATAAGCATGTAACCGAAAAAATATATTAATGAAATTTATAAGATTAATAACATATTTGATATTTATATTTAAAAGCATATTTGAAATTTCGTTTCTGAAAATATTATAATTTACATATTTCAAATATTTAAAATATGAACTAATAATAATTTACAAACATAATAAAATATAATCAGAATTTGAATTATATAATAATAAATTACAATTTAAACCTTAAATATATTTTTGTATTTGATTACATGGAACCAATAAGAATCCATAAAATACGCCTAATAAAAATTTAACAGGATTCCATCTAATTGGAGTAATCTCTTTTTAATAAGTTTTAATGAACTGAAATACTTTAATAAATTTATTTTATTTGGCATTAATTATAAAAATGAATTATATGAGTTAACAAGATAAATTTTTAATACGTTAATATCTGTAAACAAATTAAACTTTACAGTATTTTATGAATGAATCTTTATATCTTCGTATAATAGAATCTTTATCATTTCAAAATTATATATTATTATATTGATCAGTTCAAAGAATAATATTTTCTCAATCTTGAATTATTATTAACTTTTATGAGATAAAAATAATTTATAAAATTTTTGTTTAATTATTACAAATTATGCTTTAGGAAATACTTTTATATTAAAATTTATAAAATAAAATTGTTTATTAAAATATTTTAATTCGAAAATTCGAAAATTTCGAAAATTCAATTAATAAATTTTGATTTTATATCAAAATGTAAATCAATAATCTGCTGTGAAAATTAAACGATTTAAAATATTAAAAATTTGTGATTTAGTTATTTAATAAAAATATTGTACTTGTATATATTTAGTAATTATAAAATATGTGGGGGTAGATAAAGTAATATATTAAAATGTTTATACTACAACATTAATTTTAGATACTTTGTACAATTTATTCTAATTGTTTTTTTTTTATACAAAAATGTGTAACTATCTAATACAATATACATTGGTAAAAAATACACGCTTATTTATTTAGAAATATTTTAATACGAAACCTTCATTGGTGTTGAAATAAAATATAAAATATTCTTAATAGAAAAGTTCACAGAATAAAATCTACTAAAAATGTGCCATATATTTCGTAAGAATTCTTGAAGATTGTATTATAACATTTTCTTCTAGTATTTACATTACAGCGTTATTATTAATATTATTCACGTTATTGTTTTCATCATATTATATTAGAAATTAAAGATATTATTTAAAACGTCTATAAAATTAACATATTTTGAGAATTTTCACAAAATATATTATAGTATGCAGTGTGGTTATTTTAATTATTATTACGATAATTCTAATTATGCAATGAAAATGGGATAAATACACGTGAAATTACAACTCTAATTGTATGTGTACATTTATTTTCACAAGTAACTATCACTTTGTGTCGACTATTAATAAAAATAACGAAACAATGCTTATAAAATTTCTCTAGCTAACGGGAAGAATTTAACCGATAATATATTATAAATATTGTTTAAACGAATACATGTATTGGTTATATGATAAAACACACTGGTTCCTTCAAAATTGCGAGGATGAGTTCTAGTTTATTTTGCAATTATAACAATTTGACGATGAAAATGATATAAACAGTAAATATCAAATACGTGATAAAGTAATATTTTTTAAAAGTAACGTGACATTTATGCCTTGTATATAATTTACAACAGCAAATTAATTAAGGTAGGTAAGAAACAATTCTATACTTAAACAAAACTTTAAAAATTAATAAAAACAATAAAACATAATATAAACTATTAAATTTAGTAGCCTTGATATTTTTATTTATCATGATTAATAATTCATTTGTTCAACAACTAATCATATGATGAACGGATCATATGATAAAAGATATAATTAACTTAGTCGCATCAGTTATACCAAAATACTTTATAAAAAAAACCTATAGGTATAATTTATTTTGACTAAAATATCTATATAGTTACTTTTCTCCAACGATTTTTATTAGACTATCAGAAAGAGACTGTAAAAGGCCATAGGAATTAAGCACTTAATATTGCTATTTTCATGTATTTTACAGAGTAGGATTGTAAAATATATGATTAAAAAGGTAACAGTGCGGAGTACAATGATTAATTTTGTTCATACTAATTAATTCTTGTAATAAAGATTTTTATTTAATTAGTATTAGTATTGATCAAACACAACCATATTCATACCAAACCGAATTGGCAGTTTTTCGGTCCTTATCATTGGATACATCTACTAGATCAATGTTTTTTGAGTCGTCCAAATTTTTTTTGGGCGTGGTCGAAGTTGTAGCCATGGAGTCATTTATAACCGCAGATACTTTATTATAAATAAGAAGTGGTCTTGATTCGGTGTCGTTGTTTCGATGACGTTGCTGTTGCTGTTGCTGTTGCTGTTGCTGTTGATGGTAGAGTGAGGAATCCTCCGTATCGGGTCTTTCTTGACTGGTGGTGTGTGTTAAAGAGGGCGACGCGTCATCCGTGTAATAAACTGTTCTCCTAGTACCGGGGTGTGCTAAAGAGAGAGGATCATCGGTACGAAGGGCGTCGGGCTCAAGTTGTGAGTCTAAGACATTTGAATCTTCGTCACTGGAATTAGATTCAAGCTGTCGGGTGACCTCTTCCTCAAGATCGGCCCCAACATTGTCCTCATCCTCGTCACCGTCTTCGTCATCATAAGCTTTTTCATTGCTCGCGAATGATGACTTCATGGAATTGTCGTCTAATAAAAGAGTAGTATTGGCACTCCAGGACGAGCGCCGATTTGTCCTATTAAAGAGTCCCGAGCCGGCTTTTCGGACACGTCTCACTAAGCTCGCACCTAAACTCTTCTTTTTTGTCGAACAATTATCGAGTTTCCTGTAGTGTTCCATGATTTTTTCTTCAAGTTTCTCTTTTTGTCGACGTAGATGATTCATTTTATCTGTATAGATCTTTTCCTCAGTATGGTAATGCTCTTTGTCCTCAAGTGCATGGGTGAGTAACTCGTGATATTGGCTGAGCAACAGAGATACGTGATCCATGAGAGAGCGACGATCACTATCCAAGCCCGTATTCATTTGCAGGAGGATTTCACAATGCTGATTTAGCTTACCAATCTGAAGTTCGAGACTTGCCAGACGTTCATCTTTGGCACTCAACTCTCCCTGCATCTCCGTCTGTCTAAGACTCAATCGGTTGTTTTCGAGTTTATTTTTTCGATAATCCTCCTGGAGACTACGATATTGTGTCTTAAGGCTTTCAGTATTGGTATAGAGATTTCTGAAGTCTTCCTTAAGTTTCGAGTGTTCGCCGCGTAAATTACCCAGGCTTTTAGCATTCGCTAAGAGACCGTCACGCTCCATTTGTAGGCTTAGACACTTGGCCTCGAAGCATTCAGTCGATTCACGTAATATTCGCGTCTCATTTTTTGAGTCTCTTAAGTTGACCTTAAGTGTATCCTTCTCTCGTGATAGACACTCATATTCGGTATTAAGTTGCTCATGTAATAACTGCAGTCGCTTTTGGTCTCTGCTCAACTCGCCGTGTTTTCGTTCTAAAGCCGTATGTTCATTTGTAAGTTCATCTATGCTTGCCTCTAATCGAGAATTCTTCAGTTGTAAAGCAGACTGCTGCGAAGTTAATGAAGTACTTTGCGACTCAAGTCGTGTGATGTGCACTTGGAGCTTCGCCTTTTCTGAAAATAGACTCTCGAAATTGGCCTGAAGAATTGCAAGCCGCGCCTGAAGACTCTCTTGGTCGTCAGTTTTAAGAGCCGGCACTACGGGTGTAGTCGATATTTTGATACTTTCCTTGGACACATCTTGCTGTTGAATTACTCGACTCACAACTTCCGGTACTTTTGATATTCTGTCTAAGATTTCATCAGTCGGCAGTGAGCGTACGATTTCGGCATCGAGTCCAAGTTTCTCAAGCGTTGTGTGCACCTGTTGTACATTCAGTTTCTCTGCAACCAAGTTCGATTGTAGACTTTCAAGAGCTTCCCTATCAATGGCAGCGCGTGAATCCAACTCTTTGCTTGAGCGCTCGATTTCTCGAAGACGAAATATCTGTGCAGCCGAGTTATCAATTTCTTGCTGAAAACGAACGACCTTTTTTTCAAGAATCTCGATGGTATTAGTGGTTTTGTCAAGGGCAACATCCTTGATTTCCACGAGTTCTCGTAGTTTCTGTATCTCTCGATGTGCAGTATCCTTATCTTTTTCGAGCATTGCAAGTTTCGCTTCGATTTCAGTCCGTTTTTCTTTGACCTCGCGACTTGTCATCTCACTCACCAGTTTGAGTTCATTAACTTCACGATCTTTGTTTGATGTACTTCTCTCAGCATCCTCAGCACGCTTTTCAGCACTCTCCAAAAGTGTTTGCAACCGCTGTCTCTCCTTAGCAATCATCGTCTCATAACTCCTCTCGAGCTCAGTCAGTTTTCCCTGCAACGTTTGTATTTCCTGTTGCTGTTTATCAAGATTATTTCGTTGATTAGATAAACAGATTTGCAACTTTTTGTTCTCTTCGAGTGTTTGTTTACAAACGTGTTCTAAATCCTTATTTTGTTGGCTCAGTCGCTCTGTATTATCACTCAATGAGTCCACTTTTAGAGACAATTTTTTCTTATCTTTTTCCAATTCCAATACTCTGGAGGCACTCTCATGGAAGGATTTCTCTTTAAGAGAGTCAATTAAATTTGTCAAACGGCGATTTTCGAGCTCAAGTTTCAATGCTCGGGCTTGTGCATTATTCGACAGTTGCTCTGATAATCTATTATCTGTGGAAACTCCAGAGTTGTCACCTGGATCTGCCTCGGAATCACTTGCAGAGCCAATTCCTGTTAAAGAGTTAAGAGCCCCACTGGCTACTTCGCTAGCCACACTTTTGATGAGACGTTGTAATTGTGCATTTTCCTCACAAATTTCTTGATATTTATCCTTGTCTGCTACACGCTCCAAAGCCATATCATTCAGCAGTTGTTCATATTTTATTATTTGTGACTCTAACTCTAAAACCTTCTCTGACCTTTTCCTTGCTGAATTCAATTGCTCTTCTAACATCTCTCTTGTTTCCATTAGTACTCGATTATCTTCTCTTAGTTCTTCTATTCGACTTTTATAATATTCTATATCAGTCAGCTTTTCTCTGTAGCGAGCAACTTCTGTTTCTAAGCGATCAGCTCTTTCTGCTCTTTCAATTGCTGCATCTAACTCATCTCTATAAGATTTTGCTGTTCTTGCCTCTAATAATAGTTCTTGATATTCTTCTCTTAGTTTTATCAGTGCTCCTTTGTTATGCTCTAGTTCTTCTCTACATTCAATCAAAGCTTCTGTCTTCTCTTCAAGCTCTTGTCTCTGTTTTCTTACTTTTGATTTCCAATCAGCTAACTCAACTGCATAACGATGAGCTTCTTCTCTACTTGTATTACTATCCCGACCATTATCACTAGAAGGATTAAATAATCTTTCTAGTTTACTTGTCATTGACGATCCTGTCATTCCACTTATTTTTTGTGACGGTATATCTCCTCTTTCTGACCCAGAAATATCTTGAACAATTCCTAATAAAACATTTTTTTCATTTCCATCAATTGCATTATTACTCGTAATGCAATCTGAAAAGCTCTCAGTATCACTACTTGTATTAACTATTTGCATATTTATTAGTTTTGTGCAGTAGGCATTTTTCTCTTGCATTAACTTTTTTACTCTTGTAAATACTGTTCCCATATTAACATTTTCCATAGATTCTTGTGTTACTACAATATCCTGATAATCTGTTACTTGTTTAATACAGTCAACTATTGCTAATTGTGTATCAACATTTAATGTTTTAATTTTTATTATAAAATCTTCTTTATTTGAACATTGTACAGCGCAACCTAATAGTAATAATAACAATAATTTAGCTTCTGCAACATGTCGTTCGGGATCTCTTCCTAACTTAAAAGTATCTGGTGTAGTTAGAAGTAAATGACCTAATTGCTCTTCGTAAAATTGCTTTATATTATCAACAATAATTTCTAAGTTTTTTACACGTACTCTTGAGTCTCCACCCGATGGTATTACTCTATCATGTACAGGTTCTGGTTCGCTAAAATTATAAAATGAATGTAGATTAATAATTCATATATATAAAAAAATTATTTTCATAAACTTACATTTGAAGAAAAACATTGTGTAATAAAACTCCATCAACAAGATCATCATAATTAGTTAAAGCATTTGAATCTTCTAGACAACTGATAAACTGGAGAAAATTTTTTTTGGTTAGGTGAACAACAATATACAATTATTATGATTCTCAGTGTTTAATTGAATTCATATTAGTAAATAAGCTTACCCATGTTACTAATGGACCACATAAAAAGTCATTTATTTCTGAAGATGCCATTTTAAGAAGTCAAAAAAATCTATTGTGATATTAATATTTATCGTCGACAAAGAACAATTATTAGACAATTAATTCTAAATATATATAAAATTCTCTTTTCGAATTGCATAATATGATGTATTGTATCATAATTAGTTGGAATGCAAAATCAAATCATTTAAACATTAGTCATGATAACGATACTTAAATAACTATATGGTACAAATATATATATTTGCAACACAAGAATACTACAAGGGTTAAGGTATCCTCACAATTGGTCACATAAATGCAGTTTCATATCATACATGTAAACTGGCATTTAATTTTAATATGTGTTGTAAATTATATTTCATTTAAACAGTTGCTTCACTATGTCGAATACAATTTATTCAGATTTCTTATAATAAAATATATTTGCTAAATAATTGTAAATTAATCACTTCACAGTCTTATTAAGAAACTATGTAATTTATAATGAATAAAAAGTTGATACAGTGGTATGAAGAAATTAACATTCATTGGCTTAATTTGTGTAAGTGTTATAAAATTGAAAAATCAAACATAGATGAATTTTATATTATTTTAAGAGGATAAAGTTTACTTGTAAATTCAGATTTATATAGAAAGTGTTACTGAACTTGAAAATGTTCTTCATTATGTGATTGATGATGTATCCTCTGGTACTTATAAATATTACAGTCTAATGTATAATGGTTTAATTAAGATTCAATTGTCTACACAGTAATTATTAATGATATAATTAAATTTATTGTCAAAACACAAAATTAAACATATATTTTTTATATTGTTGGATTTGGAGATGCTGATTTATATATTTCTCAAATAACTACAAAACAACCAACATTGGAGTTTATGAATCACAAAGATTAATATTGGATCAACTTTTAATTTTTATTAATTTTTGTTTACTTTAGTTTTAAAAAGCCAATAAGTTTAAGCATTTATGGACATCCATCTCATATATTAAGTCTCTGTACACTATTAGTTTATTAAATAACAAAAACAAATGAAACTATTTTTATTAAATAAAATTTTGTAAATGAAGATTTATATAGTCAAAGAATTGATAGCCCAGAGGTTAACAATTTGCAATTATTAAATATTATATGCTACAATTATAATTTATATAATCATATTTTTGGAGTGAAAAAATGACTTGTACTAACATTTTAAAGGTCATTCATTGATTGATTTATTTTTTAATATGTTCAGTTAATATCAAAAAATATTTATGAAAATGTTGGAATATGAAAATCAAATGTTTTTAGAACTTCTACAGGAAGATGGACTGGTTATTACAGCAAAGTACTCTTTTATATTCGATAATTTTTAATGATATGGTTTTATTAACATTTCATTCATATGTTTTTATTATTTATAGAGGCCTTGGTATTGAAACAGTATTTATGAATATATTAAAAGTATATTGTGATCCTGGAAATCTTGTTTTAGTTCTTGGTACTAATGAGTATGAAGAAACATATTTTTTAGATAAATTAAAATGTGATGCAGTGAAATATTTACCTCGAATTATAACAGCACAATGTGTATCAGAAGAAAGGTTTATATTCATAATATATTAAGAAATAATTTTTTAATAAATATTTGAAAATAAATATGCATTTTCACAGATATACTATGTATTTGGAGGGTGGAGTACTATTTATATCTGGAAGAATTCTTGTAGTTGATCTACTAAAAAATCGAGTTCCAACAAATTTAATTACTGGAATTCTTATATATAGAGCACATTCAATATTAAATTCTCATCAAGAAGCTTTTGCACTTCGACTTTACAGAAAATTTAACAAAGTTAATTTATATATTTCTAATTTATATATTTTTTTTAATTTAATTGCATATCGTAATTCTAACTTATATATATATAATAATTGCAGAGTGGTTTTATTAAAGCTTTTACTGATTCTGCCTTAGCTTTCACAACTGGTTTTACTCAAGTTGAACAAGTAATGAAAAAATTATTTATAAAAAAATTGTATCTCTGGCCTCGATTTCATAAAATAGTTAGAGACTGTTTATCTAAATATACTGTGAGTTTTATTAGTTTAAAAATGAGTTATGAAATTGTATATTAAATAATTTTTCATATATTTTATCTTTCAGCCTGAAGTTTTGGAATTACATGTAAAATTGACATCTAAAATGCTAAGTATACAAGTTACATTACTTGATGTTATGAAATACATGATTCAAGAACTAAAAAAAAATAATAAATATGTATGTAATATAATTTAATATTTCAAAATATGTTATAAATACATATATATTAAAATAATAATTTTCAAATATAGCTTGATTTAGATGAATTAACTCTTGAAAATGCTATAGCAAATAAGTTTCATAAACAATTACAATTACAGTTGGATCCAATATGGGATCAACTTAGTTTAAAAACTAAACAATTAATATCAGATTTAAAAACTCAAAGATCGCTATTAATGTAAATCTGTCTTATATTTTAATGAATTTTTTATTAAACAAAATTTTTATTATATACTTTGTTAATATTGATAAATTTTCTTATTTAAAAATAGGTGTTTAACACATGAAGATTCTGTATCCTTTTATGCACAGCTTAATCAGCTGCGAACAATGGAATATGCTATGAAAAGTAGTGGCTGGACAGTACTGGATACTGTTGATGATATGTTCAAAAATGCTAAATTAAGAGTCTACTCTGAAAAAGGAGGTAAAAATGACCTTATTAATAATAATAGACTAATTAAAAATATTTAAAATTTAAAATTATTGAAACTATAATGATACAACAGATATACAACCAGAACCAAATCCAAAATGGTTAGCTATATCGGATACAATTACAGAAATTCGGCGTGATAAAGTAAAAAAAGAAAATGATAATGTAGAAAAAATTCTTATTCTTACTCAAAATAATAGAACTTGTAATCAACTAAAAAATTTTTTGATAATGAAAGAACAATATTTATTACGTGAAGCAACAAAAAAATTGAAAACTCAAAAAATACAAAATATAAAAAAATTTGAAACAAGGTACAGTAATGTTATTTATATTAATTCGTTTATATTTGAATATGTATCTTTAATATTTGTATGTTTAATTTATTTTTAGATTAATTTAATAATAAGATATGTATATTTAATAATATTAATATGTATATATATATATAATATATATATATATATATATATATATATATATATATACATATATATTATTCGCTTATGTGGTTTAACATTTTATTTATAATTTAATTATTATAGCATAAATTCACACGTACCTGAAAAAATTGAATCGACTACTGAAACTGAAAGTACTACCGATAATAATGACGATGAATGTGAAAGCTATATTTTAACATTATCTCAAACTGTTGAGAATATTAAAAAAAATAATTCAGAAACAAATCAAAAAGCTATCAGTTCTTGTGTACATTTTGAAGAGTGTAGTCAGGTATTAAGAACAATTATTATATAATTCTTCGAAAACTGTTTATTAAATAGTAATTAATTAAAAAATGTGCAATTTATTTTGATAGCTTGTGGATTTAGATTTAACAATTTTAACAACTAAAGAACCTATTTTAATAATAGAACCAATTAAAAAAGGAGGAAATTCATTCTCCCTACATCAAACACTTGAAAAAATATTACCTAACTATGTAATCATGTATTCAGCTGATATTTCTACTGTTAGGTTACTTGAGGTTCTTATGATTTTTTAAAACTAATAATACATTAATATTTAGTATATAATTTGTTTTTCCAAATAATATTTTTACTATAGATTTATCAAAATAAACATCCAATGATACCGTTGATAGTTTATTTTTTAATTTATGGTGGATCTGTTGAAGAACAAGCTTATTTAACTTCATTGCGAAGAGAGAAAGATGCATTTGATAAACTAGTTATTGCACAAACTGTAAATATATTATATATTTATATTTTTAAATGCTTGTGCATACAAACATATTTGTGAATGTAACTAAAGTTTTATAATATATTGTAGAGTATGGTTGTTCCTGTTGAACAAGATGGTAAATCCATTGAGCCAATATGTTCTGATTCTGAGCAAGAACAAAATACACGTAAAGGAGGATTAAATGAAGGTCAAACTGAGATTATCAATAAGATTATTGTTGATATGAGAGAATTTAGAAGTGAACTACCATCACTATTACATCAACGTAATATAGAAATCGAACCTGTAACTTTACTTGTTCGTAATTTACTTGATATACTTGGTAGAAAATTTAAATACATATTTATATTTAAATGCAAATAATTTGATTTTAGATAGGAGACTATATTTTATCACCTGATATTTGCATAGAAAGGAAAAGTATATCTGATTTGATTGGATCTTTAAATTCTGGTAGATTGTATAATCAAGCTGTTGCAATGACACGATATTATGCAAAGCCAATGCTTCTTATTGAATTTGATCAAAATAAACCTTTTGGCTTACAGGTAAAAAATATCTTTTAAACAATGTAAATAATTCTAATATAACAAAAACTTATATGTATATATATATATATATCTACAGGGTAATTATTATGTTAGTAAAGATATGAAGAGTATTGATGTAACAAATAAACTGCAATTATTCACAATGCATTTCCCTAAATTAAAATTAGTGTGGTCTCCAAGTCCTCATGCAACTGCACAACTTTTTGAAGAATTAAAGGTATTTAACATTATTTATTATTTACTATAGCAAATATAAAGTATATTTAAATTTATATAAATAAATAGCATGGTAGGCTACAACCTGATGCTATAAAAGCTATGCAAATTGGAATGGATGATAATATTCAGGATAACAAAATTGTGAGTGAAAAATATAATTGTCATATTCAAGATTTGCTTGCTAAATTACCTGGTGTTCATTCAAAAAATTTGCAAGTAATTTTAAATAATGGGGTCTCTTTAGATCATTTAATTACATTAACAAAGGTAAAATTATGTTTTTATCTTTTACAAATGATTTCTTTTTAAAATTTTACATATTTTCAGAGAGAATTATCAGAAATGATTTCTAATGAAAGTGATGCAGGATTATTATACAGTGCATTACATAATAAACACAAACAACTGTTAGAAGCCTCTGCAAGTAGCAGTAGGGCATCTTCAAAATTAAAAAATAGAGGGTTGTTTTATAAAACTAAGTAAAAAGTATGATTAAATTAAACAAATACAAATATTTTTATTGCTTTAATTATTATATTTTAAAGTTAATTTCATCATAGTACACTTCATATAATTATTATTTTTATCATACATTTTTCATAATTTGTAAAATGAACCTACAATGTCTAATTATATAAAATTATATCCTATTATAATTTAATCATTATCACTATTTGTATCTAAATTATATAAAAACGAATCATTTTCAAACATTGGAAAGTAAAACCTAGAAATAATATGATTTAGTTTTTAAATATTACATTAAATGTAGTCAAAAGAAGATACTAACTCTGGTTGATCCCAAATCTGTCTTTCAGGCAATTTATAATGATTTTGTTTAATCATATGAATGTTAAGATCCTTTATATTTACATCACAATAAACACATCGTATTGCATGAACTTGTTTTCTTATATAATTAACTATTTTCACCTATCATATATTATATTTATACAATTAATAAAAAATGTATAAAATTATAATTTTTAAATTAGATGTATTCATTTCAATATACCTTTTGATAAAAAGTAAATTCTTTACTAATATCTTCAAAGTCAAATGTGTGTTTTAACATCATATGTTGTAAAATTGTAGTAAAATCTTGTGCATCATGTGCACAGAATAAACATGTTATACTTATGTTTTCATTAGTCCAATCTGACCAATTATCGTCATTATCACTGAATCCAGAAGAATCTTCATTATGTCTGATATGCTGGCCCATATAAAAAAAATTAGTCAATTTAAATTGAACTGAAATGTATTAAAGAATAGTTTAATTACCAATTTAGTATATTTTTTTTTGCTACAATTTGGGTGATCTGGTAAATAATTTGAAACATAATATTTATCATAAATCTTATTATTAGGATTAACTCGTTTGTGTAATTTTTTGCGCATGTGTTTCCTTAATACAAAGCGATTCTTAAAAATTTTTTCACAATATATGCATATATAACTGAAAACATGAAAATTTTCTCTTAAATTTCATTTAATATTAATTTCACTTTATTTGAACTAACCTTTCTATTTTATTTTGAATTTTATCAAGATAATCGTCAATGAAAACCAAATTTTCTGGTTTTCCTAACAAAATATTATGTTTTTGATTAAGATGATTTACATATTCAATACGTGAACCTAAAAATTCTATTCTACAAAATATGCAATCTCTTTTAAATGTATTATCTATTCGTTCTTTTAATTGTTCTGATAATACCCATTCCTAAAATTCAAATATAAATTTTATTTATTATTTGTGATACATACTAATTATATTTATCTCATACTAATTTTGCTCGTTGTATTTCATCTCTAAGAGTTTTATCTTCTGTTAAACAATCTGAAAGTAAAAAATAAAGCTTTTGATTTGATTTATTATCTTTATTTGATTGACTGTTGCTATCCATAGTTAGTGTAGTACAAAATTCGGTTATAGGCTGCTCTTTAAATTTTATTCTCCAATAACGGATATAACTAGTAAAATAAAAAATATTTTAAAATAAATATATAACTTTGTAAATTATGCTATAACTACCTTTTTAAACTAGCTATTTTATATACATCCCCAATAATTAATTGATGTTCTTTAAGTAAATGACAAATAAAATCTTCCTTATTAGTTGGAATTGTATATAAAGAATCACAAAGTAAACATGCAACATCACATGGTTGATCATCTAGATCATTAAATTGTGATTTATAACTTGAGTAATAATTTTGAAACGTTGAAGAATTTGATATAACATTATATTTAGAATTTTCTATACAAAAATTAAAGATACATTTTCTGAATATGACGTAAATTTTGTATTTCGTACTTATTCAAATTGTTTTATAATTATTTAATATTATAAGAAATTTTAAATATTATTTTACGTACCTTCCGCTGACATAATATTTATTTATAAAATTAAAATTTTAATCCTAATTTTCTGAAAGAAGAAATATCAATCAGGTTATATAATATCAAACGATATTAAAAATTAAGTATGGAATAAAATCTGTAAATATAAATATTTTCAAAACTTGTTTATTTACTTTTTTTCTTAATATTAACATTACATATATAAACGTGATCATTTCTTATTAATTCCAATGTTTAAACTTATTCAACAATAGTATTCTACATATTTTTACTAATGGAAATCTAACCTAAATATAAACTTAAATAATATTAAATTACAGAAGTATTTTGAATATAATTTTAAATATCGAAATTTCATATTGAAATTCGAAATTGTTGAAAAATAAATCAAAGTTATATTTTTAATACGATATTTATATTTGTCTTACAATTTCATATAAATATATGAAACACGATAAAAATAATAAATAATAAATCAAGTACTATTGTTACTATGAACAAAATTTTTATTCAAATGTAGAAATATACAATTTTTATATAGAATTTAAAATGTTATTTGTATTAATATTTTCCAGTTTGTAAATGTACAATGTTAATTAAAAATAAAATTTTCTAGTTCAATAAATTTAAGACAAATAAAGATGTTTATGTTCCTTATATTTCTAATAAATTATCTAATTTTAAGAAGTTTTTAATGTTTTTGATACATGAATATTTAAACCATATAATAAAACAAGATGACAAACATGTAAACATAAACTACTATATACAGTACTTGGATAAACATTCCAGCATAATTCTATAAGTCCTAAAATTACTAATCTAGTTGTGGTATTGTAATCACAGCTCCATGCTATATACGGTAGGGTATGATAATACCACACATAAAATTGATAATGCAGAGATCTGCTAAATATTAAACCTATAAAATTTGCAGCAAACATTGGCAAGATAAATAATTGAGAAGCTGTTGATATATTAATATTAGTTTTCATGAATAGTGATTTATAAGTTTTATGAACATTTTTCAATTTCTTATAAGATCTGAAATATGTTATCCATTTTGGTGCAAAATGAATCAATATTAATATATGTAAACTTAATAAAGTTATATGAAAGTATGGACTAACAAATAAATCTTCAGATAAAAATCTCCAATTAACAGTCCATTTGAACTCAAAAATGCGTACTAAATTAAATGCTCCTTTAATATAAGCAATTGGATTTGTTATTAAAAATGGAAGTCCTAAAATCAATTGTATAAAAGCACAAATTGATAATTGTATTAATGTTTGGAACAATCCTAAATTAGTTATATAAGCAATTAATACTGCTGGTGCAAATAATAATATATTCATTTTTATTGATACTGCTATACTAAACAGGATACTACCAAGATACCACTTTTGATCTAAAAATACATTGATGCTAGCAAAAAGAAATAGCATTGCAATTGGATCATTGAAAAGTCTTAAGACAAATATAGAGTGTATTCTATATGACGTAGAAAATACCAAAATTAAAACAAATGGTGGAACTTTTCTAGTACGTTCATAAATTCTTAAAACTAGAATAAGTAATGTAATATGAATAACTGCAAAAAAATATTGTGCAATTTTTATATTAATTCCTTGAAATGTAATATAGTAGAGGCCAATAAAAATATAAACAAAACCTGCAGGATATACTAGTGGCCCAGTATGACCTTTTAATTTTGAATAATCTAATGTTCCATTTAAAACTCCTTCTACTTCTTGCATGTAAGCTTTCCAATCAATTTCTGTATAAGGCACTTTTTCAATTATCACAATATTTATTACTACTTCTGCAAAAATGAATATTATTGCAGGTAAATATAATTTTTTTGGATCTGTAGCAAAAGTTAGTAAGTTATTCCATTTTACTTGATATTTACTCCAATTATTAAAATTAGGATATAACTTATTTTCTCGATATGACGCCATTAATAAATTTAATATTCACTGTTATTTGTTGATTATATTTACGTATGATATGCAGAAAAGTTCCAATTCTATTGATTAAAACAATAATATGTACGTTTTCTATGGTATAGTATCGTGGGAGAATATAAATAACTTGAACTAAAATAGAATTTAAATTTATGTACTAAGTAGTAAATGATTTATAAATCATTAAATTTAATTTATATAAATATGTGATTATAAATTATATCTAATAGAGTTACGTGTATTATAGAATATAAAAAAAAAGATGTGAAAAATTTAGTAAAAACAGCGAGTGTATAACATTTTATTCATACAACAAACTAAAATTTGATGTTATAATTCGTATAAAAAAAATAATTTTGTTATTCTGACGTACTGCACAATATTTGAAATATGATCAAATAAAAATATATAACACAAGACTTGTACTCGCATAAGCATGAGTTATGCTGTATCTGCCTACGAATGCATACTTACACCATTAAAAAATGTATATACGCGTGCGTGTGTATATTGATTGCATGAGTATAGGGGGTTTGCAACCGGCAATAGTTGGTACGAGATACGAGCTATGAGTTAAGACCTATGAATTACGGCAGCAAAGCGCATAATGGTTGGCTAGTTACAAATGCCAAAATGTAACGGATTCTGAAGGAAATGTATAAACTTCGCCTATAACTCATAATATACAATAATTCCTTCATGAGTGGGAGATGATGCCGACTAACTCACGCCTGGGAAATTGTAGCGATGGTAAAATTATTCTTTTTTATAACCTAAAAAACTCCTACACTTACTGTTTTCAACAATTCGGAAACTTTCTCTATCTTTGCCTAACAAATATTTGACCAATAATCTTTTTAAAAATTCTTTATTCATACTTGATTTACTATTTATTGGTTAGTAAAGACAATCACGCGGTTTTTAAATAATTCTTATTTTATTCCTTTATTCTACGATATATCAATCATATAAATATGTGTATTTTTAATGCTTAATATGATTTCATTAAATTAAAATGAATCAATTATTAATTTACTTATTTGCTTCTTATTAAAACCTATTGATTAATGAGCATTAATTTTAATTTTAATTTTACTAGGTTTTGAATGGGATACGTTGATGGAAGTTGTTCATGAACCTATTGAAAAAAATTACAAATTACTTGAAGAGATAGGAAAGTGAGTTCCTTGATTGTTTTTTTTTTATATATCACAAATTAAAAAAAAAATTTACTTTAATGAATAATTTTTCATTTTAGAGGCCAATTTGCAATAGTTAGAAAATGCGTGGAGCAAAAAAGTGGAGCAGAATACGCTGCTAAAATTATGAGAAAAAGAAGGGTTGCTCGAGGAGTTGCTGCAGCTGATATTGGTAATTTTAATATTAGAAAAAATATTTTTAAATAGATTAGGAAACCAATATATTATTTTGTAATTTAATGCTTATAGCTCGTGAAGCTGGTCTATTGGCTCAATTGAGACATCCCAATATTGTATCTCTATATAAAGTTATAGATACTGGAACTAATGTAGTATTACTATTGGAATTAATTACTGGTGGAGAATTGTTTCATTGGATGCCATCTAATGAAGCTGAAGCTGCATATGTGGTTTGTTATTATTGAAAAATTATAATTTCTTTACCAATTTTTATATGAATTTATTTATTAATAATTTTATAACTTTGTGCTTAGGTTGGTCAAGTTTTAAAGGCATTGAGTCACTTACATTCTCATCAAGTTGCTCACTTGGATATTAAACCTGAAAATATTCTTTTATCATCTTCACCACCAATGCCCAATGTTAAATTAATTGGTAACTGATGCTTTTAAATTTTGTTATTCAATTCGAAAATAAAGTAAAAAATTTCTATTTTAATAGATCTTGGCTTATCACATCGACTGATACCTGGTTCTGAACATCGAGCTCTTTTTGGAACACCAGAATTTGTTGCTCCAGAAATAGTTAATTATGAGCCACTTAGTTTAGGAACTGATTTATGGGCTGTCGGTGTTTTAACGTATATATTACTAAGTGGTGCTTCACCATTTTTAGGAGAAGATAAACAAGAAACTTATGCTAATGTCGCAGCATGTCAATATCAATTTGATGAAAAATATTTCTCCAATGTTTCTAAATATGCTAAGGATTTTATACAATCTTTGTTAGTCAAGGATCCTAAGTATATATTATTTGCTAAAATATTTTATAATAAATAATATAGTATCTATTATATTATGTAAAACCTAAATTTACATTATATTTTTTGTAGAAAAAGAGGGACTGCAGAATCTTGTTTAACACATGCATGGATTCTTACGGTGTGTTCTTATGTACATTCAAGAAATTGATTTATATTTTACTTTCAAGAACATCTTATGGCTTGTGTTTTTCTTAGTGCACTAATAGCTTATATACTTTAATTTTCTATTATTATTAATTCTAATATGATTAGTGTTATACACTAATTAAATATTATATATATTATAAAGTATATGTACCGAGATTAATATTAGTACCAGTTATCTAAACAGTGGATTCATGTATTGTGTAAATGCGAATTTTTTTCGTATGACCTATATTCCTAAGCAATTATAATACTAGTAAAATAATTTATTGATACTAAAAATTTCATATTTAAAATTAAATTATATATGAATAAATATTTACACCATTGAGTTTTGGTGTTTAAATACATTTCATAAGTTTTTCTTAACAAATATTTTTAAAATGAATTATTTTAGTATTAGCATTATGTGCACTAAATGAAACCACTGGAATCGCGAGCTGGGCAAATATTCAACTTTTCCTTTTAGTTTTTTCGATACACAAGTTATTCGACGTCGAGTCAGTGAGTGACATTTTTTACGCTACTATGCAGGAATTTCAAGCTTGTCAAGGACTTGGAGAAGCAATTGTCAGCGCTGTAAAAGGGGAATGTATCCAAACTGTGTCAAGTTTACTGCAACAAGGAGCACCTTTAAATATTATAAATTTTGTATGTTTCTTCTCTATGTATAAAATAATTGATTTTAATTTTTATTTCTCTTTACTATGATATTTTAATTTATTAAATACTTAGTGCAATATAAACTAATTAAAATAATTTTTAGAATCAGGACACACTATTACACGTTGCATGTAGAACTGGAAACGAAGGGATAGTGGCACTTTTAATAGATCATGGAATAGATTTAGATGTAACCAATAAAGATGGCTTAACTCCTTTACATCTTGCTGCTAAATTTGGCTGCATTGATATTGTAAGACTTTTATGCACAGCAGGATGTGATATAGATAAAGCCAATCGAGGTATTCGAGCAGATGTTACTGCTATTAAGTATGGCTTTTCAGATATTGCAAGTTTATTGGATAAATTAAGAAATGTAAGTTAATAAGAAACTGTTATGAATAAATTTTTATAAGACAAGTTATTATGTATAAGTTTTGATTATCCAGTCAACCCAACGAGATCTATATATTAAACAGCTGCAGCCAATTCGCAGACAAATAGATTGTTTGCATATTCATATTTTAGGACATTGTGCCTCAGGAAAAACTTCACTTATTAATTCTTTGAGGTCAAGCATTTTTAATTTTGGATTTTTTAAAAGATCAAAAAATCAGAGTCACAATACAAAAGTACGCTATTATTTTGTTCCATTATATACTTATTATTTTCATCATAATTTTTATATAATTTTATTACAGCGTGATCCTAGTATTGAGTTAGATATTACCATAAAGCATGATTCTCTTAGTTTTGAACACAGTGATAATGAATATGAAAGTACAATTGGAGTTGAAACTAATCGCGGAAACATAGGTAAGTGATTGAACTAAAAAACATTACTTATACTAATCTAGTACATTATTTAATTAATTGTATTATTGCATTACAGGTGGAGAATGTGTATTTTGGGAATTATGTGGCCGAGAAGAGTATTTAGTTTCTTATCACCAAGCATTAATGGTTCATCAACCAATGCAAGTGCATTTAATAACAATAAGTTTACGTCAGCCACTTATTGTAAGATTACAACAAGCACGATTTTGGTTGCAATTTATAATGGATCGAATTCCACCAGAAAATATAGGTAAGTTATTGGTTTTATAAAATTATATTAAGGTTAATTTATAATTTATTAAATATGCTTCTATGTATGTATGCACGTGTATGTTCATTTATTCAGAAAAGTAAAACGATTATCTTTTCTTGTATTTTAGTTTACATTCATTTTTCAATTTTTATTTATAGGATTTGCAGGAAAATGCATTGAAATACAAGTTATTTTAGTTGGTACATATGCTCCAGAACTTCCCATCAATAATACAAATGGAATAAATCTTCTTACACCCTTATTAGAATCTTTAAAAGAATTTACACCTCTTTTAGGAGAAGAACCTCAGGTTGTTGCTTTAGATGCCACAAATCCATCTTGTCCTGGTTTGAAATTACTAAGAACGTATTTGAATAATTTAAGAGTAAAATTTGTGGAGGTCAGAAAAATTATTAATTAATTTTATTATGACAAATAATACATAATTAAAAATGTATAATATTACAATGGATAATATTTATTACAAAATAAAATAATTTCTAACAGAATACACATGATCTGACATGTAATGGGCTCATTGACGCTTGGCGAATTCATATGCAATCATTGGAAGAGCCTCTTATGTTATTAGATTTGAAAGACTTTATAAATCAAGTTAGGCAAATTAATCCACTAGTTACTTTAGAGCATTGTAAACAACTTGGAGAACAATTACAAGTACAATTTTATAAATTTTATTTTATTACATGTAGTTGAAATTATTTAAATTGTATTAAATATATATTGTCAGGCATTGGGAGATTGTCTTTTATTACCCGGCGATTTATATGTTTTGAGTCTTAATTGGCTTTGGAGAGATATAATTGGTTGGCAATTGAATCCAGATCAAAAAAATCGCTTAAGTATTCGAACAACAGGAGTGTATACTTTAGAAGATTTTCAAGCTCGATGTCCCTGTCCAGCTAATCAAGCTTTACAAATACTGCAAGCTTTTCATCTATGTGTTCCAGTAAGTATTAATTATTTAATATTTTACATTAATTTATCAAACTATATTATTAACACATTTTAAATGTTTATAGTGTGTGGTTGATGAAGAAGAACTAGAATATGAAATTCCATGTTTAAATTTAATTGAGCGATTGCCAGGTTTATGGGAACCTTGGACATCGTCAACTTTAATTTTAACGCCACATGCTGGGTTTCGATTATGTCCAACAGAAGCTCGGTTGTATAATCTATTACCACTTTTTCCACATTTGCAAGTACGTTCTATATTATGCAAATTTCTTGTTTTATTATAATAAATAATTTTCATTAATATAATATTGCTAATTAATTTTTTTAGGTACAACTAAGAAAAATTACTCAATCGTGGAATTGTGATGAATCTGATTTATATCAATGGTGGAGGGGTTCCAAACTATGTTTAGGTCCTTGTGAATGTATTATTACTTTAGAAGAAGAAGAACAAGGATGTATTCAAGTGTGGATTCGCGGCCCACGTGGTACTGGATTGCAATGTTTTTCTCTTCTTAATGTTGTTGTTGATGCTATTGATTCTGTTATTGAAATTGTTGCTCCAGGAATATTATTAGAAAAGCACTGGCAAAGCCCAAGTCAATTACGGGATTATGATGAGGTACAATTGTTACTTATATTTATTTAATTTTTCTATGTTTTAATTATATTATAATTATTAATAATTTTTATATTTCAGACCATTCACTCTTGGGAACCAACGTTAATTAATTCAGTATTATTAGAAAGAAATTTTCAAGAAGCATATTTAAAAAATCCATTTAATGGTCAACGAGAAAGTGTTTGGGATATAATAGGTTGTGGATTAACTTCTATGGAGAATTGTATTCCTGGAATAAAACAACCAGTTAAAAATATTAAACCAGCTATTCAAAGACGCTTAGCTCAGCTGCTTGATCCTCCTGATGCATTTGGTAGAGATTGGTGTTTATTGACTGTAAGACTTGGTTTAGGAGATAGGGTTGCACAATTTGATAGTACAATCAACAGTCCAACATTAAGGTAAAGTATACTAAAAAATATTTAAATATCAAAAATTGTTTTTAAATACATTTACTTTTATAATTTGATATTATTTAATTTTATTTTAGAATTTTTAGTTACGCGAGTCCTAAATGCACTGTCGGTATTTTAATACGTCAACTTCGTGCTTTGGGAAGAGATGATGCTGTAAAAGTTTTATTAACATTCACGCCAACTTATATAATGTTAAATACTTTAGAATCCGATACAGGATCTAATTTTTCAAGATGACGATCTTATTTTTGTTATAAATGTTAACCAATTTTTTACGAAAAATTCAATTGCACGAAAAATGAAAATGTAATTTTCAATATAAAAGAAAACAATTTTTAATATGAAATAGCGTTACACAATATTTATTTGTTTTGCGAATTAAGCCTGCTGAAATATACAATTTCATTTAATATGACTACTTTAATATGATAATGTTATAAAACAAATAATCTACATTTTTACACTATAATATAACATGTAATCAATTAATTAATTTTTTTATTCTTTTTCTTTAAATATGTGATAAAATTAAAAAAAAATTATTAACATGTAATTATTTTATACGTTAATTATTAAAACGTATGCAGTAAATTTTATATATTAAATAAAATGATTTTTAACGTTTTTCAAGTTTTTGTTTTACATTACCACAGTTCCAAATGCTTAAAGTATAATATTTCAGTATTATTTATAAATAAATATCTTTTGTACTTGAAATACAATGTTTATTGTAAATATTTCCACATGATTATCTTATATAAAGTAGTCACTTTTTCTATTGTATAATGTAATTGTTTTATTAATGTTAATTTGAGCACATATACTTATTAATATCTCGTTAATACTTAGTAATAACTTATTAATGTTACTTTGTTTACATAAATAATTCAAACATTATTGTTTTATACCAAGTAACTGACAGAATAATATTGTTTTTCAATCAAAGCACAAATTAATCTACATATAAGTTTACACCATATTTATAACATTTTTTTATAATTCTTTCACATATTGTATAATAAAATACCCATATATTTGCCATACTCTTTTTATATAGAATGCTGGGTGCATTAGCAGTGGAATATATGATAGATAATGTGTGTGTGTGTGTGTGTGCGCGCGCGCGCGCGCACGCAAAACTTGTCAACACAATAAGCTAATACAGCAAAAGTACTTTTAATCTATGTATACACGTAGTTATTCATTTGATCTCTTTTATACTTGAAAACAAAGCATAAAGAAGCTTAAATAAAAGAGTCAGAAGAACTAATAAAGAATACTAAAAAAACTCACTATGTATTGTGTATGCATATGCGTATGCAATAAAAATACGAGTTAAGGTTGCGTTTTGAATAGGAATGTGTACACAAAAGATCTATCAAATTATTGACAAACCCATGTTTAAGGCGGCAGATTCAAACAACTGGCAGGAGCAGATGATAAAAAACGAGCGGTGCTCTGTTTACAATAATGCGAGTCTCGTAGGTTATGTCGTCGTCGTCGTCGTAATTACCAATATTGTCGTCTTTGTCCTCGTCGTAGTAGTTGTTGCGTGTAAAACAGAAAGACACAACTTTTTGCCGAAAATAGCACACAGGAAGGCAGAGATCGCATTTCGGGCGGGCGCAGTACGGTGACGAAGTTTGTTCGATACGGAGCCAAGTGAAGAGATAAAATCGGGACGTAAGCCAACGCTTGAAAGCAATTATAGAATCGGATCCAATTGAGAGGAGTCCGTAGAGGATCGCATTGCCCTTTTAGTTTTATTTTAGCTTGGCTTCCCAAGGCATCCAGTCCCACATTCTCTGTCGAGGACCGCCGCCTAGGAGCCCAGTTAGTGAGTCTTTTCTTGACGATTTTCATACTTTTCGGTTGCAACATCCTTCAGTAAGAATCTTCCCCATGATAGTCTTTCCTTCTGGAGCCCAGGCAACGCTTGTTTAGCTGCTTGTACGCTCGGTAGCTCGGGCCGCTTATTGCTTATCGTTTATCATTTAGCAGCAGTAGTTATAGTTTTTGAAACGAGTTCAATAGTAGCGGTACCAAAATGGAGGCGATCAAGAAGAAAATCGCGGCCCTGAAGATGGAAATGGATGCAGCCAATGAGAAGGTTGAGGCCAATGAGGTGAAGGCCAAGCAGGAAAACTTACGCGCTGACAAGATCTACGATGAAGTACGCGACCTCGAGAAGAAGCTTGTCCAGATGGAAAAGGATTACACGGACTGCAAGAGTAGTCTCGAAACATCAACGGCAGAACTCGAGCGGTGCGAAAAAGCTTATACAAAGGTAAGCAAATGGTACCGGATAAAATGATCATCGTGCTCGCTCATCGTCATGATGGTTGTTGTAGGCAGAGCAAGATCGTACTTCTATGACTAAAAGGGTTCAGGAGATCGAGACGCAGCTATTCAAAAAAGAGGAACTGCGACTCTCGGCGCAAACAAAACTCGGACGTGCTACCGAACTTAATGACGACGCCAGAAGGTGAGTTAGAGAAATTGTGAGGTTTGACGAGGTATACCGTTCGTAAGAATATGCTTCCTTCTTCTATTAGAATGTGTAAGGTACTGGAAGAGAGAAGTAGACTTGATGAGGAACGTATGGAAAAACTGACTTCTGAACTGAAAGACGCGCGACTGCTTGCTGAGGATGCGGATACCAAATCCGAAGATATTGCTAAAAAGCTGCAGTTTGTGGAGGAGGAGCTCGAAGCTGCTGAGGAGAGGGTCAAAACCAGCGAAGCGTTAGTAAAAACCAAATTATTTATCCCTTGATTGCATAAATATTTGATGATAAATAACGTCTGTCTTTCATTTGAACAGGAAAATCATCGAACGCGAGGACGAGCTTTTTATCGTTCAAAATATTGTCAAGTCTCTGGTGGTTTCCGAGGAAAAAGTCAGTTGGGCAAATCATATTTATGATGTGCGCGACTCTCCTTAAGTCTTACTTTATCTTTATATATTTTCGTAGGCAAACGCGCGTGTAGCGGATATGAAGGACCAATTGAAGGAATTAAAAAAGAAATTAAAAGAGGCGGAAAAGCGCGCAATCATTGCTGAGAGAACGGTTAAAAAACTACTCAAAGAAGTTGATTTCAAAGAAGGTAATGACACACATCTCTTTGTATCCTCATTAAAAAAAAATGATTAGAATGACAAAATATGGGCTTTTATTTTCAGATGAATTGCGAGAAGAAAAGGAAAAATACAAAGCACTTTGCGACGATTTAGACTCTACATTTGCCGAACTCACAGGCTTCTAGATAAAAAATTGCTGACTTTTCGTACAACTCTTTCTATTCCATTCTATGCCAAACTGTAATCATGCTTCATGTACCATATGCCCCTTTTTGTTTTCATATAATTCTATTTTATTTGGGCATTACCGTTCTGAACCATTACATGAAATATATGCTATTTACTTAATTGGCTATTACCATATATTAGCTTGCAGGCGGCTTTCTTGCACTGCTTGGCTTGATTTGGCTTAACTTGGTTGTATAATATATAATGCGAAACAAAGCTATTAAGTGCTTGTCAGGTGTGCTCAAATACTTTGACTTACTTTTATGCTTAATGATATTTGTTATGTATTTAATTCTTGATTTTCTTTTTTTGTTTTGTTCTCTGAATTTTTCTATTAATTTTACGCCGCATGTGTAAATGTAAATTAAGACTGCAGTAATTTAAATAAAATGTAAATCATGTATCATTCGATGTAATTTAACTGAACAATATAACCCATTTGTTCGTAATAATTTAACTGAGTTTACATTTACCATCCACATTCATTTAAATATCCTATTTTAATACATTTAGATTTTACGAAAAGGAACAAACGAGTGTTCTTACGATATAAAGTTTGTTTATTTATAAGTAAGTGTTGCAATTAATTGGGGTACAAAAGAGAGAAAGAATATATATATATATATAAGAGAGAGATAGGTTAAAAGGAGTGATGTATAAAGATAATAGAGAGAGAGAGAGAGAGAGAGAGAGAGAGAGAGAGAGAGAGAGAGAGATGGAAAGACGAAAATAAAAAAACGGAAGCTTGACTAGTATTATATAAAGCTGAATCTTAAACAGTAGCAGAACACACACATATACTTGCCCAAGAATGCATTAGACTGCAAGTGCTAAAAAACTGCAAACATGTTTTTTTTTCATTATTTCGAGTCTATAAAGCAATCTTCTTGTCGGACGGTGAGTACAGTAACCTTCCAACTTGTGATTCGTCTGTTACTACTGACAATGCAATGCTAATAAATATTTGAACTGGTTAAAATTATTAATTTGTTATAAGCAGAAGTATTGATTAAATTTTTATATGTATATTTTAAAGTATTTTTCAATTAGTAATTAATATTATATCTTTGAATTAATTGACACTTTTAAACATACGGAGAACGAGAATCAAACACTTTTATTTTGTGTTTTTATTTTAAAATAAAAAAAATAAATAAATTATTATGAATGCAATCAAGAAAAAATTACAAACTCTGAAGATTGAAAAAGACTTGGCGATAGATCGAGCTGATGCTTGCGATCAACAAGCTAAGGAAGCCAATAGGCGAGAGGAGAGGCTAAAGGATCAAGTCGAAGAGCTGCGGAAGAAACTCTTACAAATGAAAACCGATTTAGATGTGAACAAATTACAACTTAGCAAGTTCAATACAAATCTTGAAAATAAAGAAAAATCTTACTTAATGGTCAGTATTATGGCATCTGTCTATCTAGACTCTTTCGCTGCATAAGCGAAGATTCCAGCATCCCGTCTATCACGGCATAATGAGTCCCATTCTTCCATTTGCTAATTACTCAAACTTTTTTAATTAGGTTCAATCCGAGTTGGCTATGTTGAATCGAAAAATGCAGCAGTGCAT